AAGCAACCCTCTAGCAATTCCTTCTATTATGCTAAATCGCTTTCTCCAATCAAGGAGTTTATTTTGTGATGGATCTGCAAAAGTAAAAACCAGAAGATAGCCTATTATTTTGAACTTGTGCTTTCGCAAGCCCATATTAGAATGCTTTCAAGAAAAATCACTAACTGTGAAACCATTAATCATAGTTTTTGGAAAAGAAAATTATATATGATTAATAATTAATACATGAAAGCTTTGATTTGCATATGAGACAGATACTAAAGGGCCATCAAAAGAACTAACCAAACACATAAGCATCCAAACTTCTATTTGGCATATACTCATATATCAGCATCTTTTCTTCTCCTTCAATACAGCAGCCAAGAAGTTTTACAAGATTGCGGTGTTGAAGCTTAGAAATTACCAAAACTTCATTCATGAATTCTTCTAGACCTTGCCCAGATGCTCTTGAAAGTCTTTTAACTGCTATTTCCTTACCATCTTGCAGTTTCCCCTACAATACAATATCATGAAACAGAAACCATAAGGCATAAACAATGACTACAAACATGATTAACTTTGCTATATTTAATATACCTTGTATACTGGACCGAAACCACCCTGGCCAAGTTTGTTGGATGAGTGGAAGTAGTTTGTGGCAGTTGCAAGCTTTTCAAAGCTAAATTGTAATAGCTCCTGTAGCTTAGCTTGTGATAATTCTCCAATTACTTTGTCATTTGCGTGTTCTTGAGATTCAGATGTTATACCTTTGTTAAATCGAATAAATCCACTTTTCTTCTTTTTCCTTCTCCAAATGACATATGCACAAGTGAAAATTATGAAAGTTCCTATTATCACTGTAACTGCAATGATGACTTTTTTGTTTCGCCCTTTGTCTACAATTCAGCAATTCAATAACATCAACGTCAACAACACTTTTATCCTAAATTAGTTTGGATTGGCAATTGAGAGAACATTATAATAACCATCACTAGTAGTTGTGGATTTAATTTTGAAGAATAATTAGAAGTAAAAGAAATAAAGTCACTTTTGGTGAAAGAGGAGTTAAAATGATAGTTAAGTGGTAAAAATGCGGATAAATAAAGTTATCCAAAAAGTGAAAGTAAATATAGAAAAGTGACTAGAAAAATATTCTAGTATTTTGGGTGAAGTTTGGTAATAAATGGAGGTGCATAGATAGATAAGCTTATATCCACTGGTAAAATAAACTCACTTAAGTGAGTAGTGAGCCACTGTTTCCCCATTCTTCTTCGTCGTCGGACAGAGAGCAAAATGATAGAAATGGAGGTTTTGAATAAAAACCTTCCAAAATTCGTAGAGAGAGCTAGAGACCTCCAAATCACTCCGTTCCAAAGCCAAACTTGTGAGAAATTTCGAGAGGAATCCATTGGTACCAGTATTTCTGGGTGGGTTTCACTGTAGAGAGAGATCTTCATCATCTAAGATTTCGAATTTCATGGATAATGGTGATTTTGATGGAGCTTGAGGCCATGGGAGCTTAGATACTCATCTCTCCTTTGTTTTAGAGTGCATTGTGGTAAGAAATTCCCTTCCTTTTCATGTTTTTATGAAGATTGAATTTATGGTTTCATTTTGAAAATTTGGTTTGATTGAGCATGTTAGAGCTTGATAAGTTTAGCTCATGTTGAGAAAAGTGTTTAGATGAGAATTTTAACGGTGAAAATGTATCTGAAAAATTAAAGATACCATATTTTTGAATAGTGTTGTATACGTGAATAGTGACGTATACATGAATAGTATTGTAGAGATGAACGGTACCGTAGTACCGTATATATATGAATTAATGAATCTTGGATTAGAGGTGTGTGATAAGCTTGAATTTGATGGACTAAAGCATTGGAATCATGAAGTTGGCATGAATTCCTTTACGTGCCTCTTAGCCATTTACAAAGGAAGTATGTGCTATGAGTTACTGTTTTACAAATCGAGCATACTTTTATGCGTGGAATAATATTCTAAGGTGTATGGACCTTCGCTTTGGTGAAATAAAAAAGAAAATAAGGTAGCTCCTTTGTATGACCTTAAAATGAGTTTTAGCCATTTTCAAAGGAGGTATATGTTCGGAGATATTATTTTGCAAAGTGAGAACACTTATATGCGTAAAATAATTTATATAGGTGGCTAAGCTTGGGTTTAGGCACTAGGCAAAGAGAAATCTTATAGCTCCATTGTAATGGGCATTCTGCCTTAAGTTGGGACTATCCTAAGACTAAGTGAATGTTTGAAATTTTGTGGGGATTTATTGAACAAAGAACCACCCACTCATGACTTAATATGATTTAAGTAAAAAGAAAATAAACAATAAAGTGTGTGTCTTGTATATTTACATGGCATTATATCATTTTATTGAGTTTTGTGTTGAATTCCTTCTCTAGGTGTACCTACTGTGAACGTTTGGATTCTCGTGGAGCATGATAAGTAGCTTGCTCTTCAAGTAAGCAAACTGTAAAGCTCCAAGAGGTAAGCTCTATGTTTATGGGGTTCGCTCCTACTTTGTGTTCCGCCATAGTGTACGGACTGTGGTCAGGTTGTATGATATGTATGAGATATATGATATAGATGCATTCATATAGAGCTATATGATAATATGATATGTTTTGTTTTGATGTATTTGCTTTGATATGTGTTAATATGATATGTTTTGTTATGATATGACTTCTGTAATATGATTTCTGTAACAATATCTGGCCATTGATTGTATAGTACCCGGATGTTCGCTTTGGGGTCCTCCCTCGGGACTGATGGTGTACGCCTCTGATATGTTCTGGTTCCGCTTTGGGGTCCTCCCTCGGGAACACGTGCGTTGATTTCCGCTTGGGGTTCTCCCTTGGGAATGACTGCGTACGCCTCTGATATGTTCTGGTTCCGCTTTGGGGTCCTCCCTCGGGAACACGTGCGTTGATTTCCGCTTGGGGTCCTCCCTTGGGAATGACTGCGTACGCCTCTGATATGTTCTGGTTCCGCTTTGGGGTCCTCCCTCGGGAACACGTGCGTTGATTTCCGCTTGGGGTCCTCCCTTGGGAATGACTGCGTACGCCTCTGATATGTTCTGGTTCCGCTTTGGGGTCCTCCCTCGGGAACACGTGCGTTGATTTCCGCTTGGGGTCCTCCCTTGGGAACACGTGCGTTGATTTCCGCTTGGGGTCCTCCCTTGGGAATATCTGCGTGCGTTTCTGATAAGATATGTGTATATGTTTTGTTTAGTTATGATATTTGATTATATGACATGTTTTATGGGATATGTATGATGATTTTGTAAATGATATTTGTTACGTACGTTGATTTCCGCTTGGGGTCATCCCTTGGGAACGATTGCGTACATCTTTGATATAACACGTTTTGTTCTGATGTGAGTATTGTGATGATTTTTGTAAAAGATATTTGTTACGTGTGTTGATTTTCGCTTGGGGTCATCCCTTGGGAATGACTGCGTTTGTCTTTGATAAGATATGTATATATGCTTTGTTCAGTTATGATAATTGCTTATATGATGTTTTGTATATTATGTATCTGACTGTCATGCAGGAAGTGAGCCCAGGGTATGGAGGGTTTTCCATAAACCTGGAGTTTACTAGAGATTCGTCTCTAACCCCGTTTGGGGATATGATTTCAGGAACACAGTTAATTGAAGAGCCTCATGGGACAAGGACACTAACCGTGGCTAGAGGTACTAGTATGAGGATGTGGAGTTCTGGGTGGTCGGATGCTACTATTTGTTTTAGACGTATTTTTGGAAAAGATGTATTGTTGCATAGTGTTCATATTCGATACATGTACATTTATGTATTCAGGCATGATGATATGACTATGTAATATTTAGTTATGTTATGTATTGGATTGCATGCTATTAGATTTGTGGCACGGAGCCAAGTTCAGCATGCGCCCATAGATGGGTATCTGAGTATATTTGCATGACTGGTACTTCTGGAAATATATATTGTTTAAACTGTCTATCAGGAACTCTTGAGTGTGGGATTGGAAAATCCCCAGTTGTCCGATTTACAGAGGTTACTCTGTCCGATTTTCGTCTCCGTAAAATAAGAATTAAATTAGAAGAAGTATGCAATGTGATATGTCATGTGAAAAAGGATTAAAGAAAAAGAAAAAGTTAGTTCGTATTTTCGTAAGTTAAGTCTTCCGCTGTTTCTGTTTGTATCATATGTATGTTAATTGAACCGGCTCGAGACGGGGATGTTACAAACATGAACATATAAAATTTGAAATTGAAGAATTTATGCCTAAAGAAAATAAATATGGTCAAGTTAAAGAACTATATCTAAATTTTTGTCTAATAATACCTAACATACCAAGTTCTGTATAGGCTACACGAATGTATAGATCAGTTCCTCCACTTGGGAATTGCTGTATATCAATTAGATCCCCATTCCAAGACATACAGCCAATTGCATTATCATATGCATATGCAATGCAAGAGCAATTCTCCAAGCACCCGCTTCTGCAAGCGTCTTGGGTAACAGATGATCCTTGTGCAAAATCAGGAACTTTGATCATCTGCAATGTCAAAAACCCATCTACTTTATTACTATCCACACTTTTGTTTTGATTGTTTGTCCTTTCACATTGCAGAGGAGTGCTCCTTATAATAGCCCATATTAATTAATTAGGAGATCAAGTGTAATTAATTAATTAAACATGTTTTACTGGGTGAAATTAAGTATGAGGCTTAATAAAATGAATCTGAGTCACTTTGGAGTTAAAAAGTGTACTCAGTGAAAATTAAGGGGTATAAATGGGTACTGTCAAAAGTACCCAAAATATAAAAATAAAAATAGTAATATTCCTAGAATAATATTCCAGACTTTTGGGTAAAGTTTGGTAATTATTGGAGTTAAATAGATAGACGAACCAATACCCGCTTAGAGCCACTTAACCTAAGTTAAGTGACTTAAGTCACCAAATGACCCCATTTTCCCCAGAAGCCCGTCGACGCCCAGAAAGAAGAGAGGAGAAGAGGAAGGGAGAGAGAGAGAGAAGGAAAACCTAGGTTGTGTGATTTTCAACCGATTGGAGCGATTCAAAAGCCTAAATCACTTAGAATCTTCCCCTCTTTCATAATCCTAGCTTTGTTTTGAGTGGGGAGCATTGTGAAGAGAGATATTACCCCTCAAAAATTCGACCATTTGAGTGATTTTGGGGTTTTGGGAAGTTCAACCTCCATGGGAGCTTGAGGAACACTCCTTGCTTGGTTGTGTGACCATTGGTGGTAAGATTCTAACCCTTGAACCTCATGATTCCTTGAAATTTGCATGAGTTAGGGTTTGTGAATAGTAAATTGGGATTTTTATGAAATGTAGTTGGATTAGCTATGTTCTAGGAAGAATGGAGCTTAGAGCATGTTATGGAAAATGCTAGGAATGTCATTTAATCGGTGGAAATGAGCCTAGATAGTCATTTGATAATTGTTCATAATATTGGAAAATTCATGCTTGGATTGGTTAGTATTCTAGCATGTTGAACAATTAATGAGTTGAATGATTGATTGGATCCTTGTGATGTCTAGGATTGAGACATTTGGACCAACCGTGAGTGATCAACCATTGGAGCAAGCTATGGAGCTTGATTAGCTCCATTGGATAGGTGAGTTCATGCTTATGTTTGGTATGAATTGTATAGCTTGGTTGATAGCTATGAGATGTTATTGGATGCAATATGTGTTAATTGCATTAAACCTTGTGTAGGTTTTGTTTGAGAAGTGAAGTATTGTAATTGACTGACTGTGGAACCTGTTGGTGGTGAACAAAGGTTGACTGAAGCATTGAGGTAAGCCTTCGGACCTTGGGTGTAATTCCCTTGATTGTTCCACCAAGCCCTGAAAGGGTAGTGGTAATTATAGTGTATATAAATGCAATGAAATAGTGTAATGCTTTGTTATACGTATGTGTATGCATTTGGTGTGGCATAGGATGGTGTTTCCCTATGTGGTATGTTGCATGACGATGCGTAAATCATACTTGGTAGTTAGCTGGCCAGTAGGACTATTTGCATCTGAGTTTCCTTAGGACAGCTTGAGAGCTCGAGGGATTTCTCCTGGAGATGTATTGCACTTTGCATAGATATGTATTTACTGCATTATTATTGTTATTGCTATTACACTGATATGGAACTGTGGGGTGGAGAGATGCTCCAAGGACCCCTGGTTTACTGGATATATTCGTATATCTCACCCCGTGTTGTGGGGACCCCCTTTCAGGTAAGGATGCTGCAGGAGCCTCAGGTGGCAAGTGGCCATATCTGGATTATGCATGAAATATGGCACTTCTTTGAGTTTATGCATGCCTTTTGTAGTTGACATGTATAGGATTTTATTTTGAAAGCCCATGATCATATGTATATCTTGATTCATTGGATGAACTTAGCCTATGCTCATGCCTTTGGTTACACCTTTTGTTGATGGGAGCCAAGGGAATGATCATAGTGTTTTGTAAGCTAAGTTCTATGATTTGTAAAGGATATGTAAGGTAAATGATGCCTACTTGGAATTCAATATATGCATGCTTGTTATGTATTGAGTTGTTGAATTGGTTGGGCTGAAAATCAATTAGGTACCCTCTTCGTTGAACTGGTAAACGATGAGAAAACAAAGGTCATGCTGTCCAAATTCTAGCTAAATCTCATGAGGAGAGGTTGGATGAGTGCTAGGATTTAGTTTTGGGGCATGGACATTTGGGGTTTGTAATGGGGACGCATTTTCCCCTAGGCTTGGACTTGAGAAATGTGGGAATTGGAATTCCCTGGCAGCGCGCTTAAGCGCCCAGGAGCGCGCCCAAGCGCCCTGCTGCCCCTGCGAGTGCCAATGCATTCTGCCTCCTCGCGCTGGAGCGCCCAAGTGGGGGCTTAAGCGCCCAGGATTGCGCGCTGGAGCGCCCTGGCCCGCGCTTAAGCGCCCTTAGCCACTGTAGGAGGAAATGCTTCTGTCTCTGCGCGCTAAAACGTCCCAGTGGGAGCTTGAGCGCCCAGGCTAGCGCGCCTGAGCGCCCTGTTGCGCGCTTAAGCGCCCATCCACACTGGAAATGCTAATGCTTACTGCCTCCGTGCGCTTAAGCGCCCAGATGGAGGCTTTAGCGCCCGATAGCGCGCGCTTGAGCGCCCGGTAGCGCGCTGAAGCGCGCTGGGCCTGTGACCAACACTCTCTTGTGTTGCTTCAAATGGTCCTAACTTGGGCTACAGTGCTCCGATTTGAGCACGGTTTGAAGCCACAGGTAGCTAATGAAGAAACCTACAATATAGTAGAAGTATTGAACTAAACAAGAAGTAAATTAAAGGTTTAAAAATGGAAAATGAACATGATGTTAAGCTTAATTTATCTGTTTCCGCCAGGTAATTTGGTTATGATCACGAAATTGGGTATTATAAGTTCGGTACGTTTTAAAATGAAAAAATTTATCCGGATTTTAATTGAACCCATGTGATTGTAACTGCGCTTAATATCATAATGCGATGTTAACAAACCGGTTCTAGAACGGGGTGTTACACTCCTAACACATCCACTAGTCCAGTTTTGTCTATTCCAATCCTCTTTGTTCCTTGGCTCAAACCCTTTCAAACAGCTACATATTGGTGAGCCCTGTGAACTACAGCTTGCAAATGCCCCACATATACCATAAACATCACAATCTGATTGGCGACTAGTCCATGTTACTAGCCATTGCTCATCATACCAATGATTTTCCACCAATTGGCCTTGGGAATTCAAGGTATACATCATGAGTTCCATCCCATATACTGTAAAAGATACATCAATTGTTCCATTCCCATCATCTTGAACTTGAAAACCACTAAGATACGAGGTTCCCATGGCTGGTATCCCTAGAAAAACTTGACCATTCCATGGACCACTGCGCCAGTAAGGTTGAGTTCTATTCCAAATGAACACTTCAGGAATCTTTAGGCGTTCAACACTAGCAGAAAAGCTTCCAATGGATGGATCAGAGAGGCTTTTCCATGATGTAAGTTCTACTTTCTCCCCTGTTATTTTGTTGCTTGTAATTTTCATACGGGGTAACAAAGTATTTGAGGGATTGTTGAAACTCTCCCATATGGTGTTTCCTGTTGTGTTATCCAGCAAGAGAAGGCTTCCATAATCTGAAAGTTGGGAAGTAGAATTGGATGCAATATTGGACACATTTGATGACCAAACAACCTGTTTCTTCCCATTCAATACCACAAGATTGCCATCTTCAGATATTGTAACAACCCCAGAAGAATCATTCAATGGTTGATTTCTATTAGCCACCCATGTGACAGTGAGGTTGAACTTGCACCAAATTCCTACATAGCGATTTGTAGAGTCAGTGCTGAAGAACCCCAAGGTGAAGTTTCCACTATTGGAGCTAAGAGTTTGAGGGTCCTTGATGAATTGAAATGATGTGATGCTGTCTTTGGCAATACCATCAACATCTAAGAAATAATAACTCAAGATAATAAATACATACAACAAATTTTTGCATCTTTTGAAATCCATTAATGGCATGAATTCAATATGTTCAAAACATTATGATGAGGATGATGGATTATAGATATCAAGAATTATTCAATATTTTTTTTTTGGTTGAAACCTCCCCTGGTAGAGTATTTTCAACTAACAGTGAAGTATTTTTTTTATAATATTTATAGATCCTCAGAAAATCTAAGGTAGAGTCTAGAAAGTTTTTCCGAAAATTAAAAAAAAAAAGTAATTTCCATGTTTAAAAAAAAATAACTTACACCCAATAGATACAGTTTTCAAAAATTAAAAAAAAAAATGATTTTTTTCCTAAAAACTAATCTAATTCAAACATGTTATTTTTTTTTTTTAAACTATATCATTACATAGTAGGTACTCTAAAAATCTAATCTTATGATATATAAAAATTCGATTATACTACAATACTAAGATATTAAGTTTTATTATATATAAAAAAAAATTAAGAAGTCAATGGACTAACAGTTAGGGTTTTTGGTATTTTGTAAGCAATTTCTAATTCAATCTTCAATCGTAAGCAACTATTTTAAGATAAAATAATTGGTTTCTTAGAAATAACGTGGAACTTTCATACCATAATAGTGTGGGGAAAAAATAAAATAAAAAAACTAATTTTGGACAAAACTAGCTTTCATACGATTAGTTCAAACAGGATTGATTGGGATAGGAATAAAACACGTTTCAGAAATATACAATAAAAGTTTTAGAATAGATAAAATAGATTAATTTGGGTTGTTCTAGTGTGCATGAACTTGTCAATACTCGGTGAACTGTTCGCATCATAGAAAGAATATAGTTATAGTTCACATTACATAAGATATTTGACTTGTATTAATAAATTTAAAACTTTTTTATTTATAACTTCAAATTAACATTAGATTGGATATATTGGTCAACAGAGAATAATTTTAAATAGAATAATAATTTAAACAGAATAATACTAGGAGACGCGCTTCCACCAAAACAAGTTTGAATAATCATTGTACTCCCATCAATGGCAGACTAATGAATTTTCAACGCGCAGCTGCATAGCATCCCTTTTTGACTTATAGGTGGAAGAAGGCAAAAAGATGGTTATGTAATTATGATACAGCAGCTGAAGTTTGTTGTCCGTTTTTTACTTGAAATGTTATTTTTGTATAGAGAAAAGTTCAAAAAAATCTATATGTTTTATTCTTTTGTCACTTACCTCTTATATTTTTTTATTATTTATCTCCCTTATTTTTTTTTTAATCCAATTCCACCTTCATTATCATTAAAAATTTACACTGAATAACTTATTTTATCCCTATTAATTTAGGATTTTATAAAAGTTATGTTGTAGAAAAAGTGATTGTGTAATGTTATAGAAGTTCTTTTTGCGTGTCTTAGTGTTTTTTTTTTTTTTAAAAAGTACGGATCCTACTTGTTATTGTTTGTTCCCCTCAAGAAATTAATCAATTGTGGAAGGTAGTCAAAATATTTGTACATTACAAAAGGCAAAGTGGGTGAGCATCACTAAGCAAATTAATTGTTCTACAGTCTGCATTCAGGATATAAGTAATGAGCCATAATCTTTTTCTAAAGATTTTGTTTTCATTGTCGGAACAAAAATTAACTTTGCAACACTGATAAATTTTACAACTTCGAAGAATATAATAAGAGATGAGTCCACTTCCTTTCAAGGTAGTTTATATGATATGGATTTGTGGGCTCTTATACACAAGGTACTTCGTTGTCGGTGGCTATAAGTGTCAAAAACATTATATTTCTAAGACCAAAAATAAATTAAATAATGATGAATATGATAAAAAAATATAGTGATGATTAACGAATGCAAAAGATTATAAGGTAAAAAAAATAATGGAGACAATCAGAGCAATGGAGGTGGAAGACTAGAAAGGACCAATAGGAAGCATACTTCCACTAAGAAGGTACAAGAAGCATCAAGTTCTAGTCTTGCTGAAGAGCCAGTTATGCCCGAAAATAATCAAAATCCACCGAGTGAGCTGATGGTTCAATACTTGAACCCCAATTTCTCGCATCTTGTTACGAGTATTGTGAGGCCACAAATTCAGGCCAACAATTTTGAAATCGATGCTTCTTTCTTGAACATGATCCAACATAACCAATTTGAATGAAGCTATAATAACCCTAACCTGTGTATTTATGAAATTACATGTGATTAAATAATTAATTATGCATTATTTAGTGTAATTAAGTATAAAGCTTAATTAAATGAATTAAAGTTATTTTTAAACAAAAAGTGCAGTTAGTGAAAATTTTGAGATAAAAATATATGTAGACAAAATTACTCAGAATTTAAAAATAAGTTGGAAAATATTATTGTAAAAAATATTCTAAATCAATAGAGCAAGTTTGAAAAAGAGTTAAGTGAAGGGGGTAGAGCTAGACTTTGGTCGGTCAGAACACCAACAACGAAACAACGAAAGACTAGCTGCTGCTCTTTCTCTACTGGATAACCGCGGTCGCCGGTGATCATCTCCTTTCCTCGGAGAACTTGAACTATTACCACTACTCCAACGCGAAACTCCCCTCATTTTTCTTTCCGATGGTCACAAGGAAGAACAAAGTTCACATTTTAGCACTGGCAGACAATATCGAAGAACAAAGGAAAGGATTATGTTCCTGTTGTTGAAGCCTAAACAAGCTCCATTAAACCATCAAGACTATTATAATGACCCTAACTGGTAAATCTTAGTTAGAGATTTAATTTAAGGATTTAAATGCCATAATTAGATTCAGTGAGCGATTTCGAGTATTTTGACTGTAATCATGACTATGTTATGAACAGTGCGTTCTGCCGGAGAATTTACAGTTTTGTGAATTAACCGGTAGAGCTTAAAATGAGCAAAATAATTT